AAACTAAACTAGCAAACAATTGGTAAAAACTAATTAAAACTGATATAAAATTGAAAATCTGAAGTCAAAACTAAATAAAAATAAAAACTAATGAAAATTGCAAAACTATTAAAACCCTGCTTCTTACACACAAGTTTCAGCTGTTGTTTAACTAAGCTTCACTGAAAGAAAATATAAAGGACTCCAGCTTAAATTCGGTTATCTGTGCTCTATTCGACAAAACAAAAATAAAAGCTGAATATTTTTGTCTAGAAGCAGGTACACTTATTTTAATCATAGATCTTCATTCACTCCTATTTATTAAGGACTATCTCACAAGCGCCCCCTGCTGTGCCCAGCTGAACTGCAGGCAATTTCTGTGCTACAAAAACAACTAGTGTCTTTTACTGACCACATGGGGGAGACATTACCCACTTAACGTGCTCCTCGGGTCTCAGCTGCACCTCTACAAACACAACTATCTCTTTGGAAAATCACCACAGGAACATTTCCAGTCTTGTTCAAGCACGTACGCACGCAAATACACAAATCACCTGCCTAATGGGAACCTGTTGATTCTGGGAATGGAAACACAGCCGAGAGAAAACAAGTTCACGCTCAGGTGTGCGTGTGCATCCGGGGTGCGCAAGTTCAGATGCTTGTGTACTTAAATCAGAGCCTGTGTTTTTGTGCTTCTGCACGTAAAACACATCTTATCTCTCCGGCCCATCCTCAGCTGGTTAACCATTGATGCTGTACGGACCATTGGTGCAGGATGTTTACCGGAGAGAGCAGCAGCGGGTCAGTCTGTTTGCCAGTTGTTAAACAGGGTAAGGCATCAGCCAAACACAGCACTTCTTAAAGTCAAAGAGGTGATTTTGTAAAAACAACTGAACTGCAGAATCAAAACTATCAGTGCCACAAGCACATAAATCAACTTTGGTCTGTATACTAATATTGGAGATGGTAGAGAGACAAGTTTGTGACAAATCTGAGTGATTTCTCAAATATTTTCAGTTTTGTTTGTTTTTTTTAAAGACAGAAAAACTGAATTTTTGTTATCTGCCCTTACTCTGCAGACTTTTGGAGTTCTAGTTGGGTCTTCAGTTTCTTCTTTGCTCCTTGGGTGAGGTCGTACTTGTTCAGGTCCTCCTCTGTCAGAGCTAAAAACTGCAATTTATACAGAGGAACAAATTCAGAAGCTTACAAAGAATCAAAATGTTGAACAAGAAATATGCAAATATATGCACACGAGTACGACGTTTTATACACACAACGTGATGTAATCTAAAGATGTACCCACCTCCTCCATGGTGAGCTGTTTGAAGACGGGGTAATACTTATGGAGGCGGAGCCTGCGGAGCCAATCCAGGATGCCGTTCTGCTCTGGCGTATTGGGCTGAGACTGGGAGAGCGATTGATTATGGGACTGGGAGCGGGACTGTGAATGGGACAATGGTTGGGAATGGGACAGGTGCAGAGTCTGAGGCTGCGTACTGGGCTGGCTGCTGGTTTGTGCATGAAGGTGGTGCTGGGAGGGCTGTGGGTATAAATGAAGCTGACCATGCTGAGGATGCGGTTGGGAGGAGCTGTCGGCCCCGCTTCCTGCAGAGCCACGTGCTGGCAGGGCTGGCACGGGGGGAGGGAGAGAGGAGAGCTGTGGGGAGTGCTGGGGAGGAGGAATGGAGGGTAGGAGAGCCGGAGTCGGAAGAGGAGGGGAGGAAAGGGAGGACAAGTGAGGAGTGGAGCGAGTCAAGATGGAGTTGTGGGTGCTGATGACGGGCTGGACGCTGGCCACTCTGTACACCACCCTGAGAGACAGCAAGAGCCAATGAGCGACGTTGGTACAAGTGCACGTCTAAGACTGTACATGTGTTTTAATGCAGCGAGGTCAAAGAGGGGCAAAACTCGTACCTGTTACCTCCTTTGTACTGCATCATACAGCCAAGATCTGTGCAACAGATTCACAATAAAAACCATCATCACCATCAGGCGATAGTCACACAACACGAGGCTAACAGTCCACAAAAATCTGAAATGTCAGTCAACTGGGCGAACATTTAAGTAGTAAATATATAAGATTTATTTTATTTATCCCAAAATAGTTATATTCACTTGTTACAGCAGAAAAATATTAAGCATAAGATACTTACAACAAATATCTTCAATAAGAGCTAGCGGATATGCAGGTCAATAAAATTAAATGAAATTAGAGAACGATGAGTGTCGCGCTGACCTAGTAGGTGTGGCTGTTACTCTTCTCTTCCTCCCCCTGCCCACTACCTGCTCTGTGCTGCTGCTTGTGCATGGCCGCTGATTAGACCTTGTGCAATCTACAACTAAACGCGGCCTGGTGCGCGCCGCTCCGCCAGGTGAGCTGAATTAGAGCAATCAAGGGCTGGCGTGCCTAGTAGACCTTAAAATGCATGCAGCAGTCATTTGACCCGAGTGCGACATACTGAGAGGACAGCAAACAAGCACAATCCACTTTCCACTGTGAGGAAGACTTTGAGCTAGACGGGCTATCTGTAAG